ACCAATTTTGATTAAAAAGGCAAACGTGTGTATACAGAATGTACATACACGCATATATACATACAACCCCAAAGAACCACCCAACAACTAGAGAGAGAAACGGCGCCCTCCACCAAATTGCCTCCGCCGCACCAAACTGAAACGTCGCCTTCAGCCTCTTTTGCCTCACCTCACGCATATAAGCGGCAAGGATCCGAGTCAAATAGCAACACCCGTGGATCTCTACCATGGAGTCTCTGTTGTGCAGTCGTCTAGAGAGAGAAAGGGAGAGAGAAGAAGAGGTCATTTATGGATCCAAAAACAATTCTTTCTCTACTCATCTATGCCTAACCGCGACACCACCCATCTGCCTTTTTTTTCTTTTTTGGTTGAATCCCATCTGTCTCTTTCTCATATGATATATGATGATTATATGTTAATATTCCAACCCATCCCCAATTTACAATGGCCATTAATCATTTATTTAGACAAAAAAAAAAAAAAAAAAAAAAAAAAAAAAAAAACGGCGAATCCGAACTGGAACAACGGCTGAAGCTTGCGACGGCGAACCCGAACTGGAAGAGCGGGCGATGGGTTTTGATTTTTTGAACAATCTGAAATGATATGCCGATATGGGTTTTGAACTTTTGATTCTTGCAGCAGGTAGATAAACTAAAATATATGGGTTTTGAACTTCTGATTCTGCAGAGAGAGAGAGAGAGAGAGAGAGAGAGAGAGAGGGGGGGGGGGGGGGGGTTGTCAAGTTCAGAGTTGAGGATGAGAATAGCCATGGAGGTGGAGGCTAAAATGATTTGCCCTAATGATATATGGTGTGTGCACGTGTGTGTGTGTGTGTGTGTGTATGTATATAAATGACAAATTTATTTAAATTTTAAAATATGAAAGGGCTTGGTTTTAAATTTAATTATATTCAGCTTTAGGTTATTCTAATTTTATACAATTTGAGGTTTATATTATTCTTCTTCCAAACAAATCCCATTTTATACAAATTTGGACAAAAGGGTCATTTTACATGCTTGTATTTATAATCATTAATTTATTCAACTGAAGTGATGGTATTATCGTCATTTTACACCACCAGGGATCCAATCGCACCAAATTGATAGTATAGGAGAGTTTTTTTACCACACAGGGACTGATATGCATTATATCGATAGTAGAGAGGAGTTTTTTTCACTTAACCCTTATTTCATGTCCGTATACATATATAGAATGTATATATCTATTATATTAATTCAACAGAGAAAAATCAATCATCTTCTCTCATATTTAGTGAAAATGCACCAACCTATTTCGTCAATTATTCTGATTTTATTTCATAATTCACATGCCAAATTTCAATGAGAAATTAAAAGGCTCTGTTTGGTAGGCATAACAATGGAGGCCCTCCGATTAGGCCACAACGAAATCCTCAAGATATGGCAATCGCTTCAGTTGGACCTAGTCCAAGTCCTGTGCTCTTCATTCCTCATTATCTTCATAATAGCCATTGTCTACTTCATGTCCAAGCCTCGCTCAATATACCTAGTCGACTATGCCTGTTACAAGCTTCCAGTCACCTGCCGAGTCCCCTTCTCAACCTTCATGGAACACTCACGACTCAACCTCAAGAACAACCCCAAGAGTGTTGATTTCCAAAAGCACATTCTCGAGAAGTCAGGCCTTGGAGAAGAGACTGCTTTGCCACCTCCAGTTCACTATATCCCTCCAAACCCTACCATGGAATCTTCTAGACGCGAAGCCAAGCTGGTCATTTTCACCGCCATTGATTCACTGATGGAAAAGACCGGGATTAATCCGATAGACATTGACATACTCGTTGTCAATTGCAGTGTCTTTACGCCAAATCCATCGCTGTCCACTATGGTACGTGGTGAACAAGTATATGCTGAGAAGTGATATAAAGAGCTTTAATCTTTCTGGGATGGGTTGTAGTGCTGGTTTGATATCAATAGACTTCGCTAAAATTAAAACCTCCTTCAAGTTCATCCCAATTCAAATGCACTTGTTGTTAGTACTGAAATCATCACACCCAACTATTATCAAGGTAAAGAGAGACCCATGCTTCGATCTTCCCAATTGCTTGTTTCGTATGGGTGGGGCTGCCATTATTCTCTCCAACAAGAGGCGTGACCAGAGTACGTCGATCCAAGTACCGGTTAGTCCACGTTGTCCGGACACACAAGGGTTCCAACGACAAGGCTTACCGGTAGTACTTCCTGTTTGGGAGCAACTCCTCGTCCTTTTCACACTCATCGGCAGGAAAATCATTAACCCTAAGTGGAAGCCATACATTCCTGACTTCAAACAAGCATTCGAACACTTTTGTGTCCACGCAGGTGGCCGTGCACGTGGAGGCATCAAGGATGACCTTGCACAGGTTTGGTAACACATCATCATCTTCACTGTGGTATGAGATGAGCTACCTTGAGGCCAAAGGTAGGATGAAGAAAGGTGATGGGATTTGGCAGATAGCACTTGGGAGTGGTTTCAAGTGTAACAGTGCAGTTTGGAAGTGCATTCGCACCATTGAGACCCCAACTGATGGTCCTTGGATTGACTGCATTCATAGGTATCCAGTGCACATCCCAGAGATTGTGAAGCTCTAATTTTATAGGTTATTGCATGTTATTATTTCTTCTTCTTCTTTCTTTTCCACTTTTGATTTTTTAAACTTCATGTCTTTTTTATTTTTATTTTTTATGTTGCAAAACATGTCCACAAAACATATGGATCGAATAACAGTCCTAATAATTCAAACATGCACATCTCTCTCGCTCGATAGTCGATCCTGTAATTATGTGAACAAGACAACAGACTGATGACCCAATGAATTGATCCAAGCCCACCAACGTGCAAACTTTTTCTTTCCCTTTCTTTTATTTTTTATTTTTCTTCTTTCATTTTTTTTTCCCCTAAAACTTGTGTCATTCAAGTCCAACAGTGGTAGTGAAAATTTTGTTCTTGCCTTAGTCGTGGTAAATAGCAAATAGGGAAGCATGCAGAAATGAAACTGATCGAGAACAATAATTTAGAAATCAAACTTTTCTCAAGTGGAGGATTAGCTATTCAAAGTTGAGCAAGCTCTATGTAAATTTGTATAATTTTTTTGCTTTTAATTTAATTCTATTACCAAATATAAAAAAAATCCTTAACCCAGCTTGGGAGATGATGTCATAATGACATCATTTCTCGAAGTAATATAAACTAATACAATTATAATTTTTCATAAAATTTGAAAAAAAAAAAAAAACTGCCAACCTTCTAGACGTACACATATCTTTGGTACATCATTATATTAATTAGGAGCAACTAACGTTATCCATTAAACGCTTATGAAAGTGAAGTGAAGGGATTTATAATAAGATCCTCTTAATTGAGCCTTTCGGTGCTCTTCCCTCAAATGTCTAATACTTCATTGGTTGACATGGCGCAACTTCCACCCACCTTTTGGAGAAATTATTTTGTTAAGCAAGTTGAATGACTACAAAATTAACACTGTTACTTTTTGAGTTATGGGTGTCTTTAGCAACGGTGTTAATTTTTATTATGTACGGGTACTGAGATCTTGTCGAGCGAAACAAATGTTAAGAAATGTCATTATTAAAAAAATGGGTCAAGTTTGTATCTGAGTACATCCATTGGATCAAAGTTGAGGACGTTGTTCGTCAATAGAACAAATTATAAAGAATGTGTAATACTTCATTGGTTGACATGGCGCAACTTCCACCCGCCTTTTGGAGAAATTATTTTGTAACCAAGTTGAATGACTACAAAATTAGCACTGTTACTTTTTGAGTTGTGGGTGTCTTTAGTAGCGGTGTTAATTTTTTATCATGTGCGTGTATCGGCAGCGGTTAAGAGTGTCTTGTCGAGTAAAACAAATGTTAAGGGATATTGTTATTAAAAAAATGGATCAAGTTTGTATCTGGATACACCCATTAAAAAAAGTTATATGTCAATAGAGCAAATTATAAAGAATGTCACTATAATTTAAACAAAAATTAATATATGTAAAGTTGTCTGTAGCAATGAGGAGTAAGATAACACAAGATGAGACAATATACTAACGCGTAGAAATAACCAATATCTAATGTGTGAGATTATATAACTATTACTATGCGATTACTTAATAGAATTGGTAATTTTTGTAACAAACAAAAGGTGAGATTATATAATTAACACACCGTTAAACATAGAGATGACAAATTTTCCATTCTCGCTCCACCCCGTTTATAGCGGGGATAGAGATCCTTTTAACGAAACGGGGAAGGGGATAGGGGCAAATTATGAATTCCGGTCGGGGCGGGGACCGGGGCCGGATATGGGGTAAACCCGCCCCTCCTCGCCCTGTTTAAATGTGAAGTTATTAATATATTCTTACATATAATAATTTATTACTAATTAAATTAGATTTAGAATATATATGAAAATAAGAAAAATTGTATTTTTTTTTAAATAAAATAAAAAAAATGGGGCCGGGGCCAGGGGCGAGTATGAGGATGGTGGCAAAATTTTAAGTGGAGATTGAAAAATTCATTAGGAATGGGATGATGAGGAATGGAATATCCGATCCGTTATCAACTCTAATTAAGTATTTTGTTATTTATCATCTTGTACTTTTTAAAGGTGTGTTTATGTGGCTTACTGTGAACCAAGTATTTTGCACCTCATGGAATTGCATCAAAGGGCTCAACGGAGAGGATTTTAAACCCTTACCTTCACTTTCATTAGGATTTTGATGTTGTTCTCTCAAGTGTTCACGGGTCAATTAAAATTTAAAATGCTCATAATCTTGTCATATCAATGTCACCAACTTAACTGTGTTTAAGTGTGAAGTTACTAATATATATATCAAATAGTGACTACTGAACTATTATCGCATCAACCATAATGGGGACGCATTAAATTTAGTTAGTTCATTTAATTCATTGTGTTTCAATTTCAGCCTATAAATGCCTCCCTTCCTTTCCATCTTTTTATATAACCACATTCTTCATCTGTCACTCCCTCTTTAGTCTCAAAATGGCAAAAATATTGCCTGATTTCTCAATGTCCATCGAGCTCAAGTATGTCACCTTTTTGCTCATCCCAATCGTCATGGTAGCCATAACCACGGAGGTCCTCCGATTAGGCCCCGGCGAAATTCTCAACTTATGGCAATCAGTTCATCACTTGGACTTGGTCCAAGTCCTATGCTCTTCCTTCCTCATCATCTTCATATCCACTGTCTACTTCATGTCCATGCCTCGTTCCATATACCTGGTAGACTATGTCTGTTACAAGCCTCCCGTCAGTCTCCAATTCCCGCACTCAACCTTCATGGAACACACAAGACTCAACTTCAACAACTCTAAGAGTGTCGATTTCCAAATTCGCATTCTGGAGAGGTCCGGCCTCGGAGAAGAGACTGCTTTTCCTCCTGCAATTCACCTTATCCCTCCAAACGCTACCGTGGAAGCTTCTAGATCCGAAGCCAACCTCGTTATCTTCTCCATCATCGATTCATTGATGGAGAAGACCGGGGTTAAGCCCAAAGACATAGACATACTCATCATCAACTGCACAGTCTTTTCGCCAACGCCGTCCTTGTCCTCCATGGTGGTGAACAAGTACAAGTTGAGAAGCAATATAAAAACCTTTAATCTTTCCGGCATGGGTTGTAGTGCTGGTGTGATATCAATAGACTTGGCTAGAGACCTTCTTCAAGTTCATCCCAATTCAAATGCACTTATTGTTAGTGCTGAAATCATCACACCCAACTATTATCTAGGCAATGAGAGAGCTATGCTTCTTCCCAATTGTTTGTTTCGTATGGGTGGTGCTGCCATTCTTCTCTCCAACAAGAGACGTGACCGGAGTCGGGCCAAGTACAGGTTAGTACACATCGTCCGGACCCACAAGGGCGCGGACGACAAGGCTTATCGGTGCATTTTCGTAGAGGAAGACAGTGAAGGTAAAGTAGGCATTTCACTATCTAAAAACCTAAGTGTAATAGCCGGCGAAGCCTTGAAGTCAAACATGACCACAATCGGGGTATTAGTCCTTCCTGCTTCAGAAAAAATCTTATTCCTGTTCAATCTCATCGGCAGGAAAGTCTTTAACACCAAGTACTGGAAGCCATACATCCCTAACTTCAAAAAAGCCTTTGAACACATGTGCATCCACGCCGGTGGACGGGCTGTCATCGACGAGCTCGAGAAGAAGCTTCATCTGTCCGCAGAAGACGTAGAGGCATCAAGGATGACCTTGCACAGGTTTGGAAACACATCATCATCTTCAATATGGTATGAGATGAGCTATGTTGAGGCCAAAGGTCGAATGAAGAAAGGTGACAGGATTTGGCAGGTTGGACTTGGAAGCGGTTTCAAGTGTAACAGTGCAGTTTGGAAATGTAATCGCACCATTAAGAGCCCAGCTGATAGTCCTTGGATTGACTGCATTCATAGGTATCCAGTACTGTGAATCCCACAGATTTTGGAGCTCTAACTTCACGGGCGGCGGCGGCGGCGGCGGTTATTATTATTATTATTATTATTATCCAGTACGTCTTTTTTTTTTTTAAATTTGTCTTTTTATTTTTCTTTTTCTAGCAAAACTTGTCTACTAATAATTTATGCATGCTTGTATGCATCCAGTATTGATATAGACCGTGTCCTATATGTATGTATATTATTTGAGTTTCGTTTGGTATTTCTAATTGTTCAAGCATGCACATATAATTATCTCCGCCTTTTGGAAGTGTGTGAGCAAGTAAAAGATTTTAGAGCATTGACTTAGGGCGCCATGGCATGAATTTTAATGTGGGCGCATAATTAAAAAATAATAATAAAAATAAAAAAGTCAGTTCAGCTTAGGACACTCCTGTTGAGAGCAGAACTTGTATAATGTGATTAAAAATTAAAAAAAAAAATTATAAATCAATCCTAATATAATTTTCTTTATAATATTATTCTTAATAGCATCTATATTGAGGAAAATACAATCTAAAAAAATGAAAAAAGCGTACCTAAATAAGTAGTTAGTAGAACTGATATGAAAAATCAAAAAAAAAAAAAAAATTATAAATCAATCCTAATATAATTTTCTCAATATGCATAAAAATAAAATTTTCTCTATCAGTTCAGATTGATGACCCAATGAATTGATCGAAGCCCAGTGCAAACTTTTTCTTTCCCTTTCTTTTATGTTTTTTCTTTCCATTTCTTCATTTTTTTTTTTTTTTTTCTCTCTCTCTCCTAAAAATAGTGTCATTCAAGTCTAACAGTGGTAGGACGGCAATTTCCTCCTACCCGGCAGGTTTTCGTCCCGCCGGCCCCTAATGAAGTGGATTTAGTGGTCCCTAAATGGGTTTGGGATAGATATGATAAAATAATTGAAAATCCGCTTGGATTTAGTGGTCCCTAAATGGGTTTGGGATAGATATGATAAAATAATTGAAAACCCGAAGCGGATTTGGAGCGGGGGCGGATTTAGTGATGAACCCGCCCCGATTATATATGTACCTTTTATTATATATATATTTAATATTTTTAAGATTCAGTGTTATTTTGTTGGAAGTGTCCGTTAATATATTAATATTCACTACTTAGTAATTTCAAATTTGGGTCAGCTTATTTATCAGTCCAATTTGAGTACATTAGGCTAGTTTTTTTTTTTACATAATAAAAGTTGCATAACTCGGCCTGCCCTTGCTGCGCCCTGCGTTTAAACGAAGTACATAGGGTTGAGTCGGTATTTTGTCTGCCGAAGTATGAGCGATGATGGTATAACAATTATAAATCCGTTTCGAAGTAGGGACGGAGTTGATATGTTAGATTTTCTGCCTGACAACTCTGTCCCATTGCTATTTCTAAATGGTGATAGTGAAAATTTTATTCTTGCCTCAGCGGGGTAAATATTATAGAGGCGAGGACGCAGATATATAAATCTGAGATTATTTCAGTTTTACACACATATACATATTTCTTGAACATTTCTAAAATGTGAACTATATGAGTTATGTGAATATGTGATTAATAATCAATAGGTTTTAGATGGTTTTACTTGGAAAATTGAGCCCTACAAGGTAGGAATATAGGATGTTTATTTGTAAGAGCGTTTGAATTTAATCTGGTTATCTAAAGCCCACATGAGCCCAATGTTGTGGTTTCATTGCTCATCCCTGAGTGAATAAGGATTTTTGAAACGAATCTGATCTAGTAGTATCTCAAGCCCACATGAGCCCAATGTTGTTTATTAATTGCACACCCAGGGACGGCATAAAATTCAAGTAGCCACAAAGATGAAAGTCCATTGGGTCACTATTGAATATCCAGCCCAGATGAAAGAAAGTCCAATGGGCTCTAAACGCGATTTAAGTTCATTGGGCTGCATCTTACATACTTTTTGGTTGTTTGAATGAAGTGACACTTGGATTACCGTATATTATAACGGGAACACAATTTAAAAATAGGAAATAAAAACCAACCAAAAGATATATATATATATATATAGTGCTGTATTCACTCTCCATAAATTCATAACAATGTGTAACCTCAATAGTGGAGACTTAAAGCACTCACAAATAAACTCCACAAGAGGGATCCGTGTCTAGTGTTGATGTGAAAATCCTCGCGACTCGGAACGACGGCGTTTACCTGCAAAACAAAAAAGGATATTACCTCGAATAGCACCGGTGGGGTGCCAACCAAGGACCCTCAAACAATCAAGTTAGTACTTGTAATCATATCACGTAATAATTATGTATATTCTGTTTCACGTACCTTCTTTAATGGCTTGGTGCCCTATTTATGGTTGTCGATTGGAATCAAATTCGTTCCGCAGGTCTCCCTATATCTGTTTGTTACCAGATTTGTCGGGATAAGATTTACTCATTTGACTTCCTTAAATTGTGCTAAGGTTATCTTTACCCTGTTGAACCACGTCATATTTCATTATCCTTGATTTGTATTTGTATCAGTCTTATCCAATGGAATTTTTTCCCTATCATCTAGTAAATTTGTATTGTTTTTTTTATATTATTATTTATTCAAATTTTTTTTTTATTAAAAGAAAAAAACAAAGTGATTTAACCCACTAATAAAATTTTTATACAAAAGCTTAATACTCATCCTTTAGTCCGTACCATCAACTGATCGACCATTGCATATGGGCCACAATTTCTGGACCCAAACTTGATTATGGGACTGCTTCATTTTCCACTTCATAATTATTTAGTAGAACTCGTACTCGGATTTGAATTTATTAATTCTCTTATATTGTTCTTAATCAAGTTTCTTCAAATCTTCGTCTTTCAACTCATGTATTTTAGAGTATAACTTCTTCTTCTTCTTTTTTTTCCCCCATCAAGAAGATATTATTATTATTGCAAAAAGAAATATATTGAATTTAGGAGGGAAAAATGATGGGCTTTCAACCCTAATGGTCGTTCTTAGTGAAAGCCCATCATATTTAATATCAGGAATATATGAAATGGATTCAGGTCTGAATTTAAAATTGGGACTATCAAAACAAACGATTTTGAGCCAACTCTTAAAAACCAAGATAAAGACCGAATTTTGCTATTCTTGGGCTTTTGATACAAATCTGTTTGGAAACGTTCTTTTCTCAATTACATAAAAGATGAGCCTACTCAAAATGGTTTTAGGAAGGTGGTTTTAGATTACACAAGGCTACTCAAAATGGTTTTTATTTCTAAATTTTATATTTATTACACAAAATTAGGATAAAACTTATTTCTTTTTAGATAACAAATATATTTCATTTTTTGATTAAAAATTTATTATTGTCCGATTGTTTTATAAATTTGTATTTGCTTTGATAAGTCAATGGTTGGTGCAGAGTCATTGATTTTTTTTTGAAAGGTTCAAAAAAAAAAAAGTTATGTTTCAGAACCAAATTGAACCGGACCCTTTCAAAAAAAAAAAAGTTATGTTTCAGAACCAAATTGAACCGGACTTTAACCTTTCAGTTCAGTTCCAAATCTCAACGATTCTGAATTTAATTTTTCAGAAACCATTAGAATCGAAAGTTAGCCTGAAACCTTATCGAACTGAACACGCGCATCACTAGTTTGTGCCATACCCATTTTGTACATATTTTTCTGAAAAGGTTGAAATGATGTGCTTAAAAGTAAAAAGGCGTATTAAGCAATTCAAAATTTTAAAATATTGTGTAATATTTTTTTATATCCATTTCGAAGAATTTACCTATTTAAAATTTTAAGATTTTGACTTCTTGTGACTTTGAAAAAGGTATCCTAATTTCATGTATATATAATTTTTCCTAATAAAAAAAGTAGCCAATGGTTTGAGGAATTGTATTCAACTCTTTTACCTAAAAAAAAAAATTGTTTTCAACTCCGCCCATGTCACATGACAACATTAATGGTGATTAAGCACATCCATCAGTTTCAAGAATTGGATGAGAGGTGCAGTTTAATTTACATCTATAAACTTTGATTCATGAGATTTCTCAAAAATTAATCATTAATTTGTATTTAATATGAAGTCTAAGAGGAGTCGAGCAACAAGGTACATCACTGGTAGACTGGTAGTAAGCAATTGGTATCTTGAAATTAGAAAAAAAAAATTTATTTTAAAATTTGAATTAAATTTTTTAAACTTTTTAATTTCAAAACATTAATTCCATGTAATCCAAAATTGAAAAACAACTTTGAAACGGAAACTTTCACAACAAAAATTTGGGTCAAATGGGTTCCATTAGTACTGTCATTCTCTATACATAACGGATTGATAATGACCACTATTGACTTAAAATTCTTATATTTTTTATAGTAGGAATTTTTCAATTTTTTCATATTTTATATACTTGATTGAAAAACTTAAATAATATGCAAAAATAAAAGAAGTGAGTAATATTAAGCATCAAATTTTCATGCTTATAATATCACTCATCTAGTTCGGCCAGTTATAACCAGGGATGATTAGTCCAACCAAACACGCCATAGGTGGTCCAACTCATTTATTCAAGCTAAATGCCAGTACCTGATACAGTGGCTTTTATTGTCCCTTTAATACGGGTCCCGTCGTATGATGTATATTTATATGCTTAGGAGTACTATTTTTTGTTAATTTATTTTCTAAAAATATAGGTTGCCAATTCAAGTGTATGTGCTACTAACTCACGAATAGACTTAAATCAAAAGCAAACAATTTAATTAACGCTACAAATTGATAATTAATCTTTTATTAACTCTTAAAATATTTATGTCATTAAATGATATATCAATCTATTCCAACTAATATGTCTCTTTTAAAAGTCTGAGACACTGGTCATTAGAGTCCCCCAAATAAACCATTCAGTCAATTGAAACATTATTATATAGAGATAAGTGCAAAAAACACTCTTAAAATATATATTTCATAATATTTTTATCCTTATTTAAAAAGGTGTACAAAAAACACTTATTTTCTTTTCAATTTATATGATAACACCTCTCAATTAATATAATGCTCATTTTACCTTTTTATTCTTTCAAAAATGCTCTTACCAGACCGATCTTCTCTGATCAAATCCCAAATCCCTAGTTAGTTAGTAGTAGTTTTTTTTTTTTTTTTTTTCGAGACCGTCCGCAACCTCCACCTCTCCATCAGTGACCTTCAGCATCTTCTTCCCATAACAGCTCCGATGACGACGTGCCCAGTTAGAATCTCGTTGTTGGGTGCCATATATCTGTTGCTTGATATGCTGCCAAAAAATCTGACCCACATATGGCGATGTGGACCGACAAGCAAGGTGGTTCTCAGAAGGGTAGAATGGCCACTGATGAGGATAAAAATAATAGGCAACTCAAAGTCAAAATAAGATAAGGGTAAGGGATTTATCCTCCCCAAAATTTCTATGGAATTATAAAAAATCTTTGGTTACCATGTGTAACGACAGTTATCATTCCTGTAAGAAGGAAACGATATCATCTTGGATCAGGGAGAATCTCGCTTTAACAACTACTACCATCAATGCTTCTATAAAAGAAATGATCAGTTAACCTAAAAAGGTACGCCATAAATTTTATAAGTAATCCTTATCGGATATTAGATCGTCAAGTACTAACTTGACCGTCGGAGTGCACCCGGCCGGCACCACGCAGGTCATTACTTCTCTTGTTTTGCAGGAATCGCCACCGACTCCGGAGCGTATAGATTTTTGGCATCAACAGCTGCAACGAGCTCGACTGGCCGACGACGGTTGAGAGGGGTCTGAACGGCGAGCAAGGCGATGACGAACCGGCGAGGATGAAGAAGGTCGGCGAGCAAGGAGAAGCTCGTACGGAACTAATGGTGGTTCGCGAAGGCAGTGAACTTGGAACAGCGGCCCTGCAATTAAAGGGGAATCTCGGCAGGTGGTGGCGATAGCAGCGAACAGCGATTCTAGCAATGGGCTGTGGAGATAATTGGTTTGATCGTGAGCTTGCGACGCCTCCGTCTTTATCTCCCTCTCCGACGATGCCTCCATCTTTATCTCCCTCCCCAACGATGCCTCCGTCTTTATCTCTTCCACTCCCCCGCGACGTTGACATCAACCTTTCACTCCCTTCCCGGCGACGTGGACATCAACCTTTCACTCCATCCCTAGTGACGTGTATATATGTGTGTGTCTGTGGCTGTGTATGTATATATATATTTATAATTTGTAAATTTACAATAAATTGAGGGATATTTTAGTCATTTCACAATTTATTATTATTTTTATATATTAAAATGTGTTACTAAAGGCATTTTAGTCCAATTTTTATACATAGGATCTATTTGCACAACTGTCATAGTTTAGGGGTGTTTTTAGCACAAAAAGGGTACAATATGTATTATAAACATACTATAAGGATGTTTTTTGCACTTCACCCTATTATATATAGAGTCAAGTGCAAAAAACACTCACTATGTACAAAATGTGTAATAAACGCCCTTAAATAATAATTAAAATTTGTCTTTGGAGCAAATTGCCCATTGATCATCAATTTTGACCAAATATTTTATAAAAATTCCAAAATACCCTTAAACAATTATTTTATTTTATTTCTTCTCTCCATCCTTTCTTTCTCTTAAAAACCGTCTTATGTACACTCAAAAAAGGAGAGAACTTGGGCGACAGTGACGCTTGCAGTTGGAGTTCAGAACTCGGTCATCATCGGATTTGCCGCCACAATATATAGAGTTTTTCGGTCAATTTGGAAGATAGTCACCAAGCTCATCATCACCGTAGCGTCACTGTCGATAACTTCAATCCATACTTGCCCACCTTTTGTCGCCGGTTCTGTCCTCGCATATTCGCTAGAGTTCATCCAAGCCATTATTCCCTGTCGCCGCTTTAAGCTTGCTGTTCTCCAAGCTCGCCGGTAAGCTAGGTGGGCATGGGTCTCGTGTAGAGCTTAGCTAACTGTTGGTTGTCTTTCGAAATGGTGATTGATTAATAGATCGGAACTAGAATTAAAGCTTTGTTGTAGTGGGTCTAGTTTGCTCAAGGGTTCACGCGGTTTAGGTTGCTCCACTCTCTCTCTTTGGTGGTGGAGGAGAGAAAAAATATTTTGTTAATTAACTTAATTTATTATGGACAATGCTTAGCTACTCACCTGTGAGTATCTTCACCTTGAACAATTTACCACATTAACTTTAATAAAAAAAATAATTCACGCTTATTCAATAGTTAATCTGAGAAAATACAGGATTATCGATTTATTATTGTTTTGTTTATTTATTTTAGGGAGGTATTTTAGACATATCAATTGTTAAATTGATGTGATGTTCTTATTTGCACAAATTAAAATAATAGGGAGTTTCTTGCACATCTTATGTACAATGAGGCTTTTTTGGCAATTAACCCTTCTCTATATAAATTTAAATGTTCATGAAATGGTCTCTAAGATATACGTACGGAGTAATTAAATCCCAAAAAACAGGATTTACGTACCTTAGTCAGCAAAAGTAGTTGTACAAACTTTATGATTACGACTGTTCATAATGATATATAATACAGCTCATATACAGAGATATATATATATATTGACATGTCCTCTAATGAAATCCAAAAATTTATAAATGCTATAAGAAGGGCCTTTTCAGCTCAAGTCGTCACAGTTGTTGGATAAAAACATGCACGTAAGATATCTCCATCCAACACACAGGTTGCCAGCTAGCTCATCTAACATAGCCCTCATAAAAGCTGTCAATAATTACCAGTAGTATATATTAAGAACATGCAGTTGTGTGGTATATCTTCGTTTATAAGACATTAAAATAATACACAATATTGCTTGATGAGTATCTCAGAAATTACAACTTTATGACATTACAGCAGTAAATCTCGTGGCATCTAAAACTAAATGCAATCCAGAATCTTTCCAGACACTTATTTTTTTTCCTGTACGTATTTTTTGGTTTGCAGACAATTCTAGCTAGGAAAAGAAACAAAAAAAAAGAAAAAGAAAAAGAAAAAGAAAAAGAAATGAAATTAACAAGTTTTGAAATCACGAAAAGTGGCAAATTAAACAACAGTAGTAATGAATATCGAGTAACCCCACCCATAGGATTAGAGCTTCACAATCTCCGGGATGTGTACTGGATACTTCTGAATGCAATCATTCCAAGGGCCATCAGTTGGGGTCTTAACGGTCCGATTACACTTCCAAACTGCACTGTTACACTTGAAACCACTTCCAAATGCTATCTGCCAAATCCGATCACCTTTCTTCATCCTACCTTTTGCTTCAAGATAGCTCATCTCATACCACAATGAAGATGATGATGTGTTGCCAAACCTGTGCAACGTCATCCTCGACGCCTCCACGTGCTCCGCCGACAGCTGGAGGTTCTTCTGGAGCTCGTCGATCACAGCCCGGCCACCGGCATGGATGCAGAAGTGTTCAAACGCTTGTTTGAAGTCTGGGATGTATGGCTTCCACTTAGGGTTAAAGATTTTCCGACCGATGAGTGTGAAGAGGAAGAGGAGTTGCTCCGAAGCAGGAAGGACTAATGGCCCTATTGTTGTTATATTCGATTTCAACGCCTCACCGGCTATAACCATCAAATCTTTAGACAGTGAAATGCCTACTTTACCTTCACGGTCTTCCTCTTCGAAAACACAGCGGTAGGCCTTGTCGTCTGCGCCCTTGTGGGTCCGGACGATGTGTACTAACCTGTACTTGGCTCGACTCCGGTCACGTCTCTTGTTGGAGAGAAGAATGGCAGCACCACCCATACGAAACAAGCAATTGGGAAGAAGCATAGCTCTCTCTTTGCCTTGATAGTAGTTGGGTGTGATGATCTCAGTACTAACAACAAGTGCATTTGAATTGGGATGAACTTGAAGAAGGTCTCTAGCCAAGTCTATTGATATCACACCAGCACTACAACCCATACCGGAGAGATTAAAGCTCTTTATATTGCTTCTCAGCTTGTACTTGTTCACCACCATAGCCGACAACGACGGCGTTGGGGAGAAGAGACTACAATTCACAATGAGTATGTCGATGTCTTTGGCCTTAATCCCGGTCTTCTCCATCAACGAATCGATGGCGGAGAAGATGACGAGCTCGGCTTCGTATCTAGAAGCTTCCATGGTTGGAGTTGGAGGGATGTAGTGAATTGCAGGAGGCAAACAAGTCTCTTCTCCGAGTCCTGACCTCTCGAGAATGCGCATTTGGAAATCAACGCTCTTGGGGTTGTTCTTGAGATTGAGTCTGGAGTGTTCCATGAAGGTTGAGTAGGGGACTCGGAAGGTGACGGGAGGCTTGTAACAGGCGTAGTCGACTAGGTATATGGAGCGAGGCTTGGACATGAAGTAGACAGTAGCTATGAAGATGATGAGGAAGGAAGAGCAGAGGACTTGGACTAAGTCGAAGTGAAGTGATTGCCAAATCTTGATAATTTCGTCGGGGCCTAATCGGAGGACCTCCATGGTTATGCCTGCCATGATGGGTATGAGCAAGAAGGTTAGCATATGTTTGGCTAGGTACTGGTACCCAAGTTTCACATACTTGAGCTTCACTGAGTTTGAGAAATCCGGCAATATTTGTGGCATTTTTAGTGAGAGAAAATCCTAGAGAGAGAGAGAATGGGTGAAGGGAGGGATGTGGGAATATAGATCCCGGGGTAAGGGGAAGGTGGGGATTTAAAGGCTGAAATGGAGGGGCAATGAATGGAGGCAGATGAGATGATTAAATGAACACTTACACTTCATACAACGCTCTCTTAGCTGGACCTAATTTATGTCCTAACTTCTGCAAATAATTAACATCATCCAATTATCTTTTTTTTTTCTTTTTTTTTTTTTGTTTTGTTTTATTCCTTAGTTTTAAGAATGAATGTGATTAAATTAAATGGAGTCTCTTGTTTTTTTTTGCATCATCCACAAAAGAGTAAATTCAGACACACCTCAATTTAGCTGGTGAATGATGAGTTAATGTTAGAAGTGGTGTTTTAATCAAGAATTAATGGTGATATATGATAGTGTCACGCTGACAGTTGGGGGTGGTTGTAAGATAGGGTCGTGACCCTTACCTATATTCTTAATTTTAAGGTCACTCACACAAGTATGTTTCGGTTAAGTATTTTACATAGATATGCTAACACGTACTTTGTTTTGTGATTGGCACTTATCATTTGCAATTGTCTAAATATATATATATATCTCTATCCATCTCTCTCTTTCTATTATGCTTGTCACCCAACATAACGACTCTGTAATTAGAACCTAAGATCTCACAAACAAAAAAAGCCAAAATTTAGTGAAGTGAGTCCTTAACCCGTACTCACTTCACACTTTATTATCGATATATATCTATATGTATATTACTATTAAAAGTGTTAAGATTTTATTATTATTATTATATATAATATTTTTTTTATTAAATAAAATGTTTACTTTGATTACCCAACTTGTTCAACAGTTCACCTCTTACAATTTCCAAGAGTTAAAAACTCTTTAATCTCCCCTTACACCTCTTTGAATCCTCTTAATCTGAATGGTAAGAACATCTCCAGTGCCGTACTAAAACACCATTTTGTAAAAATATACACAATGTGTAAAAAAATAATTATATCCAACAATATATTAAGATACATTATTACCTTATTAATGTATAAAATCGCGCGTTATGTATTTTGCATAACCCTTTTTACGCAACCACATCAACATATTTTATCTCTCGTCCCTCTTTCTCATTTCATTAATAAATCAACATATGTTAAATAGGTTTGTAAAAGTTATTTGAGATCTTGGGTATGACACGTAATTGTCAGATATATTTTTACACAAAATATATAAAATAATGGCTGGAACTAAAAAAAATTAGTCCAATATTTTTGTATAAATTTATTATGACTCGTCGAATTTACAAATATATATATATATATAGACAATAATTAGAGATGCTCTAAGAATGTCAAAGGTAAACTATTTTTCTTTTTTTAATTGTTAAATCACACAAGCATTTATTTTTATTTAATTACGTTTTTCATTTGAAAGACAGAGAAGATGTTAGTATGTTACTTGGGCTAAGCCCTTCATGGTGTAAAGCAATTTTTGCTGCGTAAAAGCAGAAAAAAAGGTGCATGATGCATCATGCATTCATGGCAAGTTTATTTTTTTCTTTCAGTAATTAGAAATGTATTGATAAAAGGCCAAAAAAATATAGGAAAAATTACAAATAAGGTGAGTTCGGTGTCCTAAATAATAAAATAGTCTATTTTAAAATTTTATTTTTTAATTTGATTAAATCGAATAAAATAATTACAAATGCATCAAGAATTATAATTAGGGTTAAATGCTCTTACATCCTTTCAAGTTTGCTTTTATTGCTCACAGATTAAACTAGTGGGAAAAAAAGCCTAAACCTCCCTCAAGTTTGGTTAACTTTGCCTCGACACCCCTTTCTTTAATCGACTGTTAAAAAAGTCAAAAGTCAATTAATTAAAAAAAATAATGCCGAAACTACCCTTGACTAGTGAATATGAGATGTATGAGGTCATAAATAAATTTGAGTCCAACTAGGCTATAGATAACGTGGACCTTGACCTTTTTTTGTTTCATTTTCTATTCGGTTGGATATTTATGATTGAGAGGCGTATGATTGGTAAAGTTAACTATATGTTTCATGCTAACTAATTTTTTGTGTATAATCAATTCAATTCATAAAATGAAGGAAGGCAGAGGGAAATAAATAAATAGAGAAAAAATATGACATCATATTATGAACATTATATAATATATATTAAGTAATGGTCGATTTATATTGTTGGCTTAATAAGTAAAATTGTGTATCATGATTCAAAAAATCAGATTGGGAACATACGTACACTAAATGTTGTTTTTTGAATTTTCTTCATGAGATGACCAATCGTACAGGTGTATTCCAGATTCTTATAAATATGGTACCTGCACTTCTTTGATTCATGGCTTATGTCTAAATTAAAATGATATTTTTAAGTTAATTTAGGTCGATATTTGTGTCCAAATTAAAATAACTTAAATTGGGGAAGAGTAGTTTTGGCATTATATATTTTTAATTAGTTGACTTTTGACTTTTCTAATGATCAACTAAAAGACCAAATATGGTGGAGGTTTGGACTTTTTTTTCACTAGTTTAATCCATAGATAAAGGCAAACCTGAGGGGAGTGTGAGAGCATTTAACCATTATTATTGAAACCCAAAATATCCTCCAAAACCTTATTATAAAATACCAAAATAACCTTCATATAATCATATATTTCCAAAATACTAAAAAAAAAAAAAAAAATTAGGAAACTATAACCTTACCCAATACTAATAACTAAAATTAAGGTGCTAAATTTAGCAGGTGTTAATTACGACCAAAAGTTTAACATATAGCAGAGGTGAAATAAAATGTGTTAATTACTATAAATATAAATTAAACACCTTTTAATCAATACTATTTAATCTTGTTTTCACTATCTTTAATCTCTAACTCAACATCTTTTAACCAATACCTCAATACATTTTAATTTTTATCTCAACACTTTTAATCTTTGCCTCAATACCTTTTAATCTTTACATCAATACCTTTCAACACTTTTTAATCTTTTTTCTCAATACTTTTAATTTTGTTCTCAATACTTTTTAATATTTTTTTCTCAACACCTTCAATCTTGTTATCAACATTATTCTTCATTTTTTCTCAACACCTTTAATCTTAATTTTAATTTCTTTAATCTTGTTCTCAACACTTTTTTTTTTTTATTTTTTTTATTTTATCTTATTCTCAACACCTTTAATCTTGTTCTCAACACTTTTTAATCTTTTTTTCTCAACACATTTAATCTTGCATGTTTTCAACATTTTTTAATCTTTTTCCTCAACACCTTTAATCTTGTTTTCAACACCATTTAATTTTATTTTTAACACATTTTAATCATTACCTCAATACCTTTTAATCTTTATCTCAACACTTTTAATCTTTACCTTAATACATTTAATCTGGTTCTGAACACCATTTAATCTTATACTCAACATTATTTAATCTTACTATCAACACCTTTAATTTTTTTCTCAACCCCTTCAACACTTTTTTTTTTTTTTTTTCTCGATACCTTTTAATCTTATTCACCTTTAAAGATAACATTTTTTAATCTTTTTCTCAATACCTTTAATCTTATTTTCAACACTTTTTAATATTTTTTCTTAACACTTTCAATTTTGTTATAAAAACCTCTTTTCTTTTCTTTTTTTTCTTTTTTTTCTCTCTCTCTCTCTCTCTCTCTCTCTTAACACCTTTAATCTTATTCTCAACTACTTTAATTTTGTTTTCAACATTTTTATTTTTATTTTTTTTTTCTCAACACCTTTAATCTTTTTCTCAACTTATTTAATTTTGTTTTCAACACTTTTTAATCTTTTTAACAACACATTTTAATCTTATTTTCAACACTTTTAATCTTATTTTCAACACTTTTTAATAATTTTCTCAACACCTTAAATCTTATTCTCAACAATTTTTAATCTTTTTCTCAACACATTTAATGTTGTTATCAATACATTTAATCTTGTTCTCAACATCCTTTAATCTTGTTATCAATACCTTTAATATTGTTTTCGGCACTTTTTAATCTTATTCTCAACACTACTTAATCTTATTTTCAACACCTTGAATCTCTAACTCGACACATTTTAATCATTACCATAATACCTTTTAATCTTTATCTTAACATTTTTAATTTTTACCTTAATACCTTTTAATTTTTACCTCAGTACCTTTTAACATTCTTTAATCTTTTTTTCTCAACACCTTTAATCTTATTCTCAACACCATTTAATCGTGTTTTCAACACCTTTAATCTGTAACTCAACACCTTTTAATCATTACCTCAATACCTTTTAATCGTTATCTCAACACTTTTAATCTTCAACTCAATACATTTAATCTTATTCTCAACACCTTTTATAGGAAAGTTGATTGAAGATTATATATGATATAAAGCTTCATAATACAAGGCAATTATTAAAAAATGTACAACTTTTTAGGTACACAAAAGGTGGTTCTAATAGTGATTTCCTTCTTCTTTTTGATTGACAAATCCAATATTATCTTGATTATAATATGAAATAATAATAATCTTTTTCTTAACACCTTAAATCTTGTTCCCAAAATTTTTTAATCTTTTTTATCAACACTTTTAATCTTATTCTTAACACTTTTAATCTTTTCATCAACACCTTAAATCTTGTTCGATCTCTAACACTTTTTAATCTTTTTCTCAACACCTTAAATCTTATTCTTAACACTTTTTTATCTTTTTTCTCGACACCTTCAATCTTGTTATCAAAACCTTTTTTTTTTAAACACCTTTAATCTGATTCTCAACCTCTTTAATCTTGTTCTCAACACTTTTTTTTTTTTTTTTTAACACCTTTAATCTTTTTATCAACTTATTTAATCTTATTCTCAACACTTTTTAATCTTTTTATCAACATTTTTTAATCTTATTCTCAACACTTTTAATCTTATTCTCAACACTTTTTAATATTTTTCTCAACACATTAAATCTTGTCTTTAACAATTTTTAATCTTTTTCTCAACACATTTAATGTTATTATCAATACATTTAATCTTATTCTCAATACCTTTTAATCTTGTTATTTACA